ACAAAGGTGACACTTGATCAGTAAGATTACAAAGGTGGACACTTGATTAGTAAGATTACAAAGGTGACACTTGATAGTAAGATTACAAAGGGGACACTTGATTAGTAAGATTACAAAAGGGGGACACTTGATTAGTAAGATTACAAAGGGGACACTTGATCAGTAAGATTACAAAGGTGACACTTGATCATAAGATTTTAAAAAGGTGACACTTGATCAGTAAGATTACAAAGGTGACACTTGATCAATAAGATTACAAAGGTGACACTTGATCAATAAGATTACAAAGGTGACACTTGATCAGTAAGATTACAAAGGTGACACTTGATCATAAGATTACAAGGTGACACTTGATATAATTACAAAGGTGGACACTTGATTTGTAAGATTACAAGGTGACACTTGATCAGTAAGATTACAAAGGTGACTTGATCGTAAGATTACAAGGTTTACACTTGATTAGTAAGATTACAAAGTAATTGATTAGTAGAATTACAAATGTGACACTTGATCCATAAGATTACAAAGGTGACACTTGATTAGTAAGATTACAATGGTGGGCACTTGATCGTAAGATTACAAATGGGGCACTTGATCGTAAGACTATAAAGGTGACGATTTATCGTAAGATTACAAAGGTGACACTTGATCATAGATTACAAAGGACATTGATCAGTAAGATTACAAAGGTACCTTTATGTAAGATTACAAAGGGGCACTGATCATAAGATTAAAAAGGGGACACTTGATTAGTAAGATTCAAAGGGACATTGATAGTAAAATTACAAAGGGGCACTTGATCATAAATTACAAAGGTGACACTTGAAAAAAGATAAAGGGGACCCTTTTTAGTAAATAAAAGGGACACTTGATTTAAAATTCAAAGGTGACACTTTATCATAAAATTACAAAAGGGGACACTTGATATAAGATTCAAAGTGACATTGATTGTAAAATTACAAAGGTGACACTTATCAGTAAGTTTTAAAAAGGGGACACTTGATCAATAAGATTACAAAGGTGCACTTGTCTAAGATACAAAGGTGACACTTGATCAATAAGATTTAAAAGGGACACTTGATATAAAATTACAAAAAGGGGACACTTGATAGTAAGTTACAAAGTGACATTGATCAGTGATTACAAAAGGGGACCTTTATATAAATTACAAAGGGGACACTTGACATAAGATTACAAAGGGGGACACTTTATCATAAGATAAAAGGGGGAAAGCCCCGATCAAGGGGTTTAAAAATTACAAAGGTGACATTGATCATAAGATTAAAAGGTGAACTTTATCAAAAAATTTCAAAAGGGGACATTGATAGTAAAATTACAAAGGGAATTGATCTAAAATTACAAAGGTGACACTTGATATAAGATTCAAAAGGGGACACTTGATAATAAAATTACAAAGGGCCTTACAAAAGATTACAAAAGGGGCACTGATAATAAGTTTCAAAGTGACACTTTTAGTAAGATTACAAAGGTGACACTTGGAAATAAGATTACAAAAAGGGGAAATTGATCATAAAATTAAAAGGGGACACTTGATTAATAAATTACAAATGACACTTTATCATAAGATTAAAGTGGCATGATCAGTAAAAAGGTGCCTTTTCAGTAGTTACGTGAATTGATATAAATTACAAAGGTGCATTGAAGTAAAGAAAAGGTGACACTTATAGTAAAACAAATCCCCCTTGTAGAAAATTACAAGGGCCTTGAATGATTACAAAATGTC